TATCGTACAGCAATCATACTTTACGCGGTTTATATGACTATATAGAGAGAAAAACTTGAGGAGCACATAGTATCGTAAAGTTGCAGGGAATTTCACGTTCTGTTCAGCCGTTCGTGTTGGTCCTACTGGTGAGGATCGAATTTTCATCGTAGTAGTAGTAGTAATGCGTAGTAGTAGGCCACCGTCCTCTTTGTAATTCATAGATACTTTTCGTAGTCGTTGCTATTGTCATTGTTGTCACAGTTTCACCACCAAAGAGAGTGAACAAAGCCTGTATTGAATTTGAGGTGTCAAACATTCCCCGCACACGCTCTCTTTTGCTTGTTCTGCACACACACTCGTCATTGTTGCTATTTGGTTGCTACCGCCTTTCTGGCTGGCTGGCTGGCTGGCTGGCTGTCTGTCTGGCTAACTTGAATCTGCCGTTATACCATTTCTACCTGTCTCCTCGCCTTGAGAAAAACGTACCAAAGGTAGCAACGAGCTGAAGTGTGGACCCTAATGCAAAGCACCGTTTTTAGTAACCTAGTTCTAGCTAGTGCCCGCAACTAGGATGACCAGTTAATACTATTCCGCGTCCCCCGCGCCCCGTTAGTGTTTGGTCCTTTCGTCCTAGTCGTTATCTTACTACTATTATGGTTTCTACCACGAACACCAGTGGTGCTACTGATCCTGTGGCCGCTGATCTGGTTTTAGCGCTTGATGAATGCCCCGGTATCGGGCCCTTTAGTGACTGTCGATATGTGTGCACATTTCGATACAGAAGAAGAACAGGGGTTTTTGTGCGCAAACGACGAATTGGGCTGCTACGTGTTGGTGTGAAGCATTTTCGAGGGCGTGTCTATCAGCCACTCTGTGTCCCTGACTGTGTGTGTGTGCCTAAATATGTACCCCGTCCATTGTACGTATGCGTCGTATGTGTACTCTTGTCTGCATCTGTAACGAAACTAGAACCACAGGAATACAAAGAGAAGAGAACGGAAGACGATATAGGAAAAGTTAGAAGCTGACGGGACGATTAACATGAGAACATGTTAGTGGACGTCATGCTAAATGATGCAGACAAAGTTTGAGAGCACGTGGTTCTCTATGTACCTATATATATATATATATATATATATATATATATATATATATATGGTCTCATTCACAAGAACGTATTGGAAAAGAGGAGTTGATATCACCATCACCTATCACCAGTAGCACCACAGCCCTTTGCTGTTCTGGCCTATTCGTTGACGTGTCTATCTATAGTCCTATTGGCCATGAGCTGTCCTCACCTTCTACCTCCTATTTTCAAGGTACGTTAGCTAGCCGTAACAATAGCATCAACGGTGAACTTTGAGGCGGCAACGCAATTTACTAGTACTCATTCGGTGTGTCCGCTGTTTGATCCATCCCTCTGTTTGTCTGCCTACCTATTAGATGCTCAACTTTCCTACGAAGAATCGTAGTCGTAGTAGCAGCATTAGTATTAGAAGCCTTAGTCGTTCGTACCTCTGGCGTAGTCGGAATCGACGCCGAAAACCTCGTCGTTGTTATCATCGCAACCACCGAATCGTCAGGACCAAGCGATTGGCATCGGCTGCGTATCGACACCAACGACGCCGGCGTGTCGTGATATGAAATGACTATCTTTCTCCTCAAACACAGCACGATTCGAAAGTATAGGACGCTGGTGGGTCGGCGTACGCTAGATGGGGGCATCATGGCTCTGGTACTGAGGAGAAGAAGTACCAGTTTCAAGAGCAATCACCAATGAAGCGATGACGTCCATCTGCCGCTAGTTCTCTTGCTAAGTCGGCGACGCTGCGCCCGTTGCTCTCTTCTGTTGTCTTTGTAAGCCCCCGTTGTTGTTGGTGCGAAGTCTTCAAAATAACAACTGGTATTACTATCAGCGCCATCGCAACAAAAAACTGTTTACGGTGGCCTACGGCAACGGCAGACGCTCTCCATATTTTAGTGGACGACTTTGGCAGAATGTTTAACAGCGACCACCGCAAGGAAAAGCTGAGTTGAGACTGCACTTAATTATTATATAATACTATTCGATGCTACAGTGGTACTAGCCGCGACGACGATGATCCTGACAGCCTCATGCTGCTGCCAGCTATGGTGGTGATGGCGAAGAAAAGAAGACCGAACCAATCTGCCAACCAAAGAAACCCCAAACGAGTGGTATGAGTATGCTGCTGGTAAGAGACAGCGCAAACGGCGGGAAGGACTGAACGAGCCAACGAATGCACGGTTTTGTCGCAGAGGCCCCTCTACGCCCTTTTTCTACCTATCCCCGACGCCGTTAACGTTGTCATGACCATTCTCTTAACCACAATTCGTTCGCATGTCCATGCTGCACACGTTCGGCCAGTTAGCCAATAGCTAGCTAGCTAGCTAGCTAGCTAGCTAACATACGCATGCAAAGTTTGATTGTCTCTGCCCAGTCGTCCCTGGTTGTTACAGCTGAAGCTATCGTTGTCATCGTGGTTATGGCCGATACCGCGCAGAGCCGCGCTGGAGCGCAGAAAAAAAGTACAACAAAACTACCGTTTTTTTTTTTAAAAAGAAAAACAAACAAAATTGCTACTGCTACAACTCGTAGGTTGGGGGCGACAACAACTTAAGAATGTGAGAGAGAGGGAGAGGGAGAGACGGGAGGAATAAAAAGTACAGGGGAGAAAACGAATTAAGTAAAAACGTAACATTGCACTTTTCTGCTGTTGTTTCTATCATTAATCTACACCGTCATCGCCATCAGCACCTATTCAGTTTATCTTCAGCGCATCAGGAGATTGGTTAGTAAGGCCTTGACTCCGATATCGTACATTAGAAACTTAGCAGAAGGAGTATAGACGTGGCGGAGACATCGAGTGGACTGAGCGGGCAGCTTAAGCAATGATACGGAGCGAGATACAGGGTAGTGGCAGGTAAGCTGAATAGCGGTAGGAGAGAAAAGCTCACCGATGGATGCCTGGGAACAGATTAATAGAATCGAATGGCAGACAAATACCCTAACGACAGGCTCTAACAGATTTAGCATGACTCGGTACCGATATATGCGCTTCTCATTGGGCTGAGCTAACTTTAATCAGTTAGCGGACTGCCATCGCGTTAAGTCCGCATATAACGCAATTCCTTACCCGCTTGCTCCACCGTCACGACATGGCCAAAGAAAGTAAGGCAGGTAGGCAGAGAGAGCAATGCAAGCCAAAGGGGCAAATAAAACCTGTTCAGCAGTTTAAT